GCAACGTACCAGCCAACGAGGACAGGACCCAGCGGGCCCTCGTTTGGCCAGTGGATGATGTACAGGCCTCACACCGACACATTAGGTGTGAGCGAGAATATGCCAGATCCCGGCAGTGTGTACGCAGACAACAGGCCACAACCGGGACAGACCGTTCGCAAGTCCCGGCATCATTGTCTTGTTCGAGTGGATGCCGCTGCTACTTTTGGGGCCTTGCCAATAACCGTGTCTTGCCGTGTGGAAAACTGCAGCTAGTGCTCTGATCAAGTACCTCAATTCACCATCCCTGGGGGGCGGGATTGGCCCTCTCTCAGGACACAGTCTGGGCTTTCTCTCCATTACACTGTGAATAGAAGATGAAATACTTCCAGTGCTGCGAATATGCCCCCGCCCCAGTCTAAGGCTGAGTGGTCAATGTCTGGTAGTTGGAAGGTTGGTTGGTCTAAGGAGGTTTCGAGTAGGATGGCCTGTCTCCCCACATGGTCTCTCATCCTCCAACAGGTTAGCTCAGGCTTCCTCACGTGGAATCCTAAGGATTCCAAAAAGCTGCAAGAGAGAACAAGCCCCAGTGTGTCACATTTGCTATTGTCCCATTAGCCAAAACAATTCCAATGACCAAGCCCAGAATGAGAGAGGACTACTCAAGAAGACACGAACAAACTATGGGCCAATTACTTTAATAACCTAATTTAAAGTTTGTTAACAGTTTGATTTACTAGATTTTCAGGTGTTGCTTAAATGCTTAGAAATATTTTGCTTGTTAATTTTGTAAGTTTAGCAATTGGCATTTGAAATGTTTAAGAGAAGCAGGCACACAAAGTTTGTGATGTGGTTTGAAATGTCTAAAGAAATTTAATTAATCAAGTTTTAAGTAGTGTTAAATGTTTAAGGAGAATTTAATCTGTTACATTTATGAGTTAACAGCACATGAATCAAAGAACAAGTAAAAGTGATTGCTTTTATTTTATACAAATATTGTGAGATTACTACATGGACTAGCAAGCTTTGTAAGTTGAATGCAAAAGCTTGAGAAAAACTAGGATTTAAATTTTTCAACTCAATGTAAGAGAATAAAAATTAAAACACCCGTTATTGCAAAAAAAAATTTCACACACAAAATCCCCTCTCAAGCTTTAGTAAATCTCAGTTGACACATTTATTCAATAGTTTATTCAAAACATATTTATTGATCATCTGCTGTGAGACAGTGCTATTCTAGGCCCTGGGAATATGGTTGTCTTTATCTATTTTCTGTTGCCATAACAGAATACCACAGGCTGGATAATTTATAAAGAAAATAAGTTATGAGAACACTCATTCTACGGCACAGAATGAGGTGTTGCCTGAATCTAAAATTAATATAAATAAAACATTATTTAAAAAGAAAGAAAGAAGTTTACTCAGCTCACAATCCTGGAGGCTGGGAAGTCCAAGAGCACGGCTGAGGCATCAGGTGAGGCCCTTCTGTGTCATAGCATGGCAGAGGGCACACATGGCGAGAGGGCAAGAGCACTCAGCTCAGGTCTTTCTTCCTCTTCTTGTAACGCCACCAGTCCCATCATGTGGGCCCTGCCCTATGACCTTATCTAATCTTAATGACCTCCCAGAGTCCCCAGCTCAAATCAACATATGCAATTGGGCATTAAGTTTCCAAAATATGAAGCTGGGAGGGGGGACACATTCAAAGCACAGCAGTGGTGGAAAATTACTGCTAGTCCCTCCCCTCCCTGAGATTATACCCTAGCAGAGGACAGGGGTAGGCGGAGTCAAACAAACAAACAACACGATTTCGGATAATGGCGACACAAATACCAGGCAATCAGAGACTATTTTCTAACCCTGTCGTTCTCACAGCACAGCAATGGGACAGTGGCCATTTCCCTTTTCTCACAGCCAAAGACATCGTCAAGTTCTCCAGCTCCTGCCTGACTCCGATTTCTGACACCGGACTACTGCTCCTTTCATCATCAGTCAACAAATCCCAAAATGTTGTCTGATATCTACTATCCACTCAGGATGAGGCTCTGTCAGGGGAGACAAGGGAACAGAAAAGTAAGAACCCAGAGAACATGCAATAAGCAAAGCAGCGCGATGCTGACACGCACTTGGCAAGTTTCAGCAACACCTCACACCAGCTAAGCACCGAAGGGGTGAGGAAGCTGGAATTCCTGCCATCGGGAGGACCAATCTCGTACGCGAGGCAAGACTGTATTTCATCCGACTGAAGACGTTCATTTTTTATATTTTATAATCTCTAAAATCAGACTTTATCTTACAATGATGAGGCCTTCAATCGGATAAAATCCATAGCTACAGCACAAAGCAGCCTTGTGCTCTGAGAGCCGTAAAGAGCTGACGGCAATTAGACCAGTGGTCTAAGGGCAGCTGCACATTAGAATCACCTGGGAAACTTTAAAAAATGCTTATGCCCAGGCCCCATCCCAGACCAACGGAATCGGTATGGAAGGGTGGAGCTGGGCATTGGTGTTTTTTAAAGCACCCCATGTGCTTTAAAAGCCAGGGTTGAGGACCAGGATAGCAATTTCAAACAAGAGTACACACTCCCCTGAGGTTACATGACAACTTTCCAAGGGGCATGCCCACATGAATAATACTATTAATACTTTAGGGCAGGAGCCAGCAAACTAGGGCCTGTGGCCCAAATCTGTTCTGCTGACTGTTTTTTTTGTTTGTTTTTTTTTTAATTTGTTAGTTTGTTTTTGAGACAGGGTCTCACTCTGTCACCCACCCTGGAGTGCAGTGGCATCATCATACCTCACTGCAACCACAAACTCCTGGGCTCAAGTGACCCTCCTGCCTCAGCCTCCCAAAGTGTTAAGATGACAGGTGGCAGCCTGCTCCCTGTTTTTGTACCCTGGGGAGAGATAAGACGGTTTCTACATTTTTAAATGGTTGGGGGGAAATCTATGAAATTAAAATGCAAGTGCTCATGAATACAGTTTTACTGAAATACAGCCACAGCTCTTTTGTTTACATTGTCTGTGGCTGCTTCCAAGGCAGAGTTAAATAGTTCACACAGGACCCTATGACTGGCAAAGCCTAAAATATTTACCATCTGACCCTTTACAGAAAGAACATTTGCTGACCCTGGCTTGAAGGGAATGGACATCTGGAATTCAACATCCCCATGTCCCCTCCAGGAAATTACCTGCCTGGAATGGTAGCAGCTGTCAAGGTGTGAGATGTGTGTGGAGGCTCTTCTCCTTTCCCACACTTTTTTTCATACTTGTCCTCCCTCCTTCTGAAGGAAGGTAGGCCTCTCACCGCCCTGAAGTACGAAAAAACTCTACGCACTAGACAAAGGAGCAATCCCAAATACTGGTGTCTACTAGGACTCTGATCACCAGGTAACTATTAATATATATATATATATCTATATATCAATACACAGATATTAACATATATGCATTTAAATTTTTTTGCAAGTACAGTGAGTTCCGAGTATTGTCTTACCAAAATTGAAGGAAGACCCAATCAAGTTGTGTCAAATCATTAAAAATATTCTGTGGGGCCCAGTGGGGGGGTGTGCGTGTTTAGTTCCAGCTACCTGGGAGGCAGAGGCAGAAGCATCCCTTGAGCCCAGGAGTTCCAGTCCAGCATGCGCAGCATACTGAGACCTTCATCTCTGAAAAAAAAGGGGAAAAAAACTGCTGACAGATGGCCGTGTGATTTTTGGCATATAATTCAGAAGAGGGTTCAAAGAATTGAGTAACATGCCTATGACAAGACTAGTGTCACAATCATTTATATAGGCAAGGTTTTTTTTAAGGTTTACATTGAAAATATTTAAAATGCTAAATGTTGGCCTCATTCTACTAATAAGCAATAATTGTTCACAGATACACAAACTAGGAAGAAAAAATCCATTTATCTCATTAAAAGGTGAATTTCAAATAACAGCTTGTTATTATGTTTAGCAACTACTTATTAACACGCATAGTATGTTTACATTACTTTGCTCAGCTGTGCAGAAATCATTGCAATGGTGAGCGGAGGGTCTTGGTTTCTATTACCCGTGGTTGTCAGCGCTCTGCCACTGGGGCCTCCTCCCGGGAACCGCGAGAGAGGCTGGGCAGGACAGGAGTCCTGGTATGTTTGTACCCTGATCTCATAAGTGACACGCTGCCATTTTCGTCTTATTCTATTCACATTCCACTCTTACAACCAAGTGTCTAGGCCCAGCCGGCACTCAGGGGAGGAGGACAGAGAAGGTCGTACCAGGCAGTAGGGCCACCAGGCGCCATCTCAGAAGCCGCCTGCCACAGATGTCCACTTTCACATCACGGTTATGTCCACCACATGTATTTAAATTTAGGATGAAAATTTTAGATGTCATCTTAAAAATGTATGAGGAGTTTAGTAATACACAAGCGAAGGTACTTGAGCCCAGCGTGACGCCTAACTCAGCGGGGCCCAGCCAGGCGCGAGGCTCACGGCGGGCGGCCAGGACCGGGCTGGGAGAACACCCACCGCCCCAGGCCGGGCGCTCCGGGCCGGGCAGGCGGCGATACCGGGAAAAGCTGCGTGAGTCTGGACTCTGCGGGTGTCAAAGGCCAGGAAGTGCGGCGGGCGGAGGGCCCAGGAAGGGAGGCGGCGGGAACCCGGGCGGGCCGCGCGTGCCTGGGGGTGGAGAGGAGGTGACGAGGGCGGCCCATGTCCTAAGGGACGAGTCGTCGGAGCCGGAGACTCATTAGATGCCATCGGCGGGCGACAGCCCCCCGCAGACGTGCAGGAAGCCTCTGGGGAACGCGGCGCTCTAGCGCGGTGGGGACCCGGGCTCTGCCCTCCTCGAGGCCGGGAGCCCGCAGCGGAAACGAAAGCGAGAGCCGCGGGCCGAGCGGAGGGCGGGGACTAGGAGAACGGACTTCCTGGGTCCCGAGGAGTGGGCTCGACGTCAGCGACGGAGGAGAAAGAAGCGAACGCTGAAGAGCCGCGAGCGCGCAGCACGAGCACGGCGGGCGGCGTGCGGGGACGCGGGCCGAGGCGCGCCGGGCGGAGCGCGCACCTGGGACGACCGGGCGGCCCCGGCCCAACCCTCCCCGCGACCGGGCCCGCCCCTGCGCCCGGGCTAGAAGCCGGAAGCGGGTTGAGTAGGACAGACCCCGCTTCGCCTCCGAAGGGCGAGCCACGGCGCTCCCTCGCTGCGCCCCGAGCCCTCGCGACAGCGCCGGGGCCATGGGGGCTCCGCGCCGCCAGCCACCCGTCGTGCCGGGGCCCCCGCTGGGGCCGCTGCTCCTTCTCCTGAGCGCGCTGGCCGCGGGCCACGCCTCCCTGAGGCTGCTGGACCACCCGGCGCCCGTCTGCTCCCAGCCGGTGAGACCCAGACGGCCGTGCGGTGGCCGCCACCGCGAGGATGCTGCGGCCGCGGGGGCGGGCGCGGAAGGGGCGGGCGGCGCGGGCCTACGGAGGCAGGAAGTCTGCGCTGAGGTCGCGGGGTCTTCGGGACTCGGACACGAGATCGCGGCGCGCTGGGGAGGACGCTCGGCGCGGCGGCAGCGGCGGGTGGTTCCGGGAGGAGAGGGAGTTGGATGGGAAAAGGTCGCGGGGCGCCTGTTGCACAACTTGGCCGGCCGTCGTGGGCTGGGAGCGGGAGCGACACCTCCGCCGGGCCGCAGAGCTGGGGGAAGGAGACCGCGGCGCGGGGACCCGGCGGGAGAGGCGGGAAGGGGCGGCGGGGACGGGGCCGCGGGAGGAGCCAGGACGGGTCCGGACCTGGTTCCACGCCCTGCGCTCTGCAAACCCCCTTCGCTGCCCGCCGGGCCACGGCCAACTTAGGGAGCGGCCCCGTCCTCGGAGGCTTACCCTAGCCGGTGCCCTCCGTGCCGCCGGAGGAGCCCGCCAGCCCGCGGCGGCCGTGCGGAAGGTGGGGGCGCGACCTTTCGGGAAAGGAAGGTGTGCTGAGGGTGGCCGCGGGCCGCCTCCCCGGAGGGGCGAAGCCTAGAGGATGGGCGGATGACTCTCAGGACACCGCCCTTCCCACCGCCACCATCCGGCTCCGGAACGCGGTGGCGCGGCGGGAGGACCGCGGGGTTGTGGCCGCCGCTGCGCCCTCGGGAAGTGACACATCCGCCTGTCGTGTAGTAGCCTCGCTGCGAGCCAGGCCATGTTAAGAAAGAAAAAAAAAAAAAAACAAATCACGGCGCCCCTCTCGACAAGGACAGTTTCCTCTCTTCCCCCTCGGAGCGGCCCCGTCTTGGCGCCGTCTGCGGGTTTCCCGGCCCTGCGTCCGCCTAGGGTGTGCTCAGTCCCTAAGTTGGAGAATGCGAAACACGGTTTCTCCTTATCTGATTTTGTGGAAAATTTGCCAAAAGAGAGTGGAGGGTGAGTGACCGTGTAGCGGGGGGAAAGTGTTTTTAATGCGAATGATGTTGGGAATGTGCTTGTGGCTTCCACTGTTGGGCAGAGCGGGGAGACACAGGCCCAGCACGTTTGTGTCGCCGTGTTCTAACGCGGCAGAGTCGGCGTTCGCGTCTTGGTGGCCATTTGTCAGGTGCCTGCCAAATACAAAGCGCTATCCTAGGAACTGGAACTGTGAAGAAATACTCCTGGCACCCTGATGTCCAGGGCCCTAAGTCATCTAGAAAGGAGAATAAGGCTTGAGGGCGGGGAACTCTCTTGCAAGGCAGCCTGTAGCAAGTGCTTTGCACAGCTGGTGAGTGTACAGAATTCCAGGGAAAAGAAAAATCATTTCCAGCTGGGTTGTCCTTCATGGAAAATACATCTAGGCAGCCCTGAAGGATGGCAGAAGCCCCAAAGACAGAGGGCGACAGAGCATTCCAGGTGATGGAAAGGGTCCGAGCCAAGGTCCTTGGGTAGGACAGGACAAGGTGTGCAGCTGGGGTGGAGGGTGTGTGTAGCAGGAGAGTGAGAGAAGATGCTAGAAAGGGAGATATGGACTCCGCTGTGGCGTGGCGTGGGAGTGGGCTTGGACTTCCATTGCACAGTGAAGCAGCAGGCAGTCAAGAGCTTCGCCTGGCTCCAGAGAGGGCTGAGAGAAATGCTTGCTGGCCAGATCTGTCCGCAGTCTCCAGTTCTCTTCCTTCATCTCACTCCCTGCTAATACACCTGGCTTGCAGACAACTCGTCTCCGGGACACACGGCTCTGGGCTCCATCCCTTTTAAAGAGAAAGGAACCACACCCCTCCAGTTTCTCTGCCTCCCTGGTGTTTTAGTGGATGCCACAGTGATCTAGTGAGGGAAAGCCACCATGGTGGCTTCCGAGGACTCGGATTTGCATCCCAACTTCACCTCTTACAATCTCTGCAGCCTCAGGCAATTGAGGCGGCCTGGGCCTGGGTCCCAACTTCACCTCTTACAGTCTCTGCAGCCTCAGGCAATTGAGGTGGCCTGGGCCTGGGTTTCCTCATTTACGCAGTGACAGCACTGGGCGACCCTTCTCTGATTGACCCCCGCACCGGAATATAAGTGTCTACCGAGAGCCCGGTTGGATTTAGCCCTCACTGACTCTATTCTAAGACAGGGAGGATCTGCATGCCTGTTCTGTTCCTGGCTCAGTGCTACAAGCACCGGATGTGGGGGCTTGATAAGTATATGTTGAATGAAAGAACACAAGAATTCATGAATGAAGGAAAGAGTAGTTAGCTGGGCTTGGAAAGCAGTGATAAGCTGAGACCAGACATAGCACTGGATCTGGCTGCCTTGGTTTGGCACCTAAAAACCCAGATGACTGATTTCCCCACAGAAGTCAATACATGGGTAATTGCATTTCCCTGGGTGGTCTCTGGGTTAGCCCTTCCCCCCTGCCTGGACTTTGTTGCAGCTTTCCCCTGTCTGCCCACCTGGAGGAATCCCCAAGAGGAAAGGCAGCAAACTTGGAGTTGGTCAGTGTGAATGCTGACACTCAATTTATAGACAGGATGTGTGTTTCATTACAAATTCTTTTTTCCTGAGCACTGTGGTTTTGACTTGTGGTGGCAGAGCAACTGTTTGGTTTAACCCTTTTATGTTCTGGTTATTAGAAGCTGCTGTCAGCCATGCCACTCTTCCAGAGTATACAAAGTTGCGATTTTTCTACCAGCGGTGGTTCACATACACACCTGCATCCCAAGGTCACAAGCTAGTGAGTGACCTCTGACCTGAGCTGAGAATCAGAGCAGGGCTGTGCATGGAACTTCAAGGCCCACTTTCTTAATCAGGCTTTGTCATTGAACGCACAGAATTGAATAGTCTTTCATTTCTTCCTTCTCGTCTTCACCACTATGGATAGAGTGGCCTGCCTGTTGGCGGTGTCCCTTTTTTCATTTCGAGAGGCAGGATGGCAGCCATGAAGAGTGTGGGTTCTGGAGCAGAACTGCTAGGTTTGAGCGTTGGCTCCATGGGACTTGGGGCCCTCGGCTGACCTCCTTGTGCCTCAATGTGGCCAGTGCAAATGGGATAAGGGTGCTTAGCTCTTAGGACTGTTGCCCAGATTAAATGAGATGTGTGTATAAAGTGCTTAGTGTGATGCCTGGCACAAAAGAGCAGCTCAATAAACATTGGCTGCTGTCATTGTCATCTTCACTATCGTGAATCTCCTCCTCCGATTTCTGCAGGGCACCTCACATAATGTGAGTCACAAGCAGGTGGCGCCTAAATAATGCTCTGATCCTGCTCTGCTGTTTGTAAGAATGGGCAGTTTGAAATAAAGAAATTAGGGATGACTGTTGGAGACGAAGTTGTTCAACAGAACAAGATGTGTCTTAGTAATATCCAAAGAAGATCCTGAATGAACTTTTTTACATTATTAACAATTTTATGTTAATGTCTATTCTATATTAACATTAAATTATAAGGAAAAAATGTTCACTGTTTTGTCCCCTAAGCAAATTAATGTTTTCATTTGTTTATCTCACTTTTCGATTCTTTATTTGTCTGGAGTTACCTCCTAGATAAACTTCTATCTTTTAATTTATTCTCATCAAGTAATGTTTAGTAATCCTCCTTTGAAAGTGGTACTAAGAAGTTTAAAACAAAGAACAACAGATCCCTGCCCCACCCAACTCTGCTCCCAAAATTATAATTCTTTTAGTTATTTCTTCTGACATGTATCTTCGTATTTCTAAATCTACTTATATTGTTAATCCTTGATCTGTCAATTTTAGATATTATCTACTGACTTTAGATATTATCTGTTGACTTGTATTAGATGAAAATTATATTACCTTCCTCCCACCACTTCTCCTCCCCATCTTCCATTATAGGTATACCACAATTTTAGATAAATCAGTAGTCAGCAGCCAGACATGGTGGCATGCGCCTATAGTCCCCGCTACTTGGGAGGCTGAGGGAGGAGAATCACTTGAGCCCAGGAGTTCAAGGCTGCAATGAGCTATGATCATGGCACTGCACTCTAGCCTGGGTGACAGAGCAAGATTCCATCTCTAAAAAAAAAAACCTAAATCAATATTCAGCGTTTATATTATTATAATAAGTAAGTAATCTTCACTGCTAAGGCAAGCTGTGCACTTTGATTATACTTCTTTTCTGTTACAGTTTCTTTCCTTCTCCTACCCCTGCCCCAGAGGTAATTGCAAAACTTCTTCACTTGCATAATTTCCGATCCAAATAGTCTCAATTTTTTCTACTAGACTTGTCATAACATTTGTTTCCCCCTCCCCCCAGAGAACTCCTTCTGGAGCCCTCTGTTCTCCAGCTCCAACCTGGCCTGACAACTCTCTAGACCTGTGGTACAACTGTCATACCAGACATCCTGCCATGGTCAAATCTCCCAAGTCCTGTATCTTGTGTCTTCCTCCACAGGAGTTACTCCTTCAATTTGCTGGAGCATATCCTCCTGCAATTTCCTGAGAACATATATGAGGGATAGATACAGATATATAATACATGACATACATATATATAATGGAGATTTTATGTGTGTGTGTGTGTGTGTGTGTGTGTATTTGAAGTCTTTTCATGTCTGAAAATCTCTCTATTCTACCCTTGCACTTTTTTGGATAATTTGGCTGGGTATAAAAATTCTAGGTTAAAGATAATTTTCCCTCAGACTTTCGAAGGCATTGCTTTGTTGTCCTCTAGCAAACAGTACAGATGCTAAGAGAACCAGTGCCCTTTTGTGTCCTGTCTCTTTGTGTGCCACCTATTTTTTTCTCTCTGGAAACTTGTAGTATCTTCTTTTTATTCTTGATATTTCAACAGTTTCATGATATTGGGCCTTGGTCTGGGTTTTTTGTTTTCATTTGTTGTACAGTTCATTTAGTGGACCTTTTTAATTTGGCAATATGTGTCCTTAAATTCTAGAGATTTTTTTTCTTTTAAATAATTTTTTCCCTTCTATAATCTGTGGCAATCCAGTTAATCATATTTTGTATTTCCTAAATTGATTCTCTAATATTAATGTTTCTTTTTCCTATTTCTGTTTCTTGATTTTACAACTCAACCCGTCTACTGAATTTTTTATTTTCGAGGTTCATTTGTTCTATGCTTGCTCATTTTTCCACAGTATCCTGTCCTTGTCTTATGGATACAATATCTTCTCATCTCTATGGGGCTATTATAATTTTATCTGTTTGTTTTAATTTTATTCTGTTCTCAGCATTGTCTTATTTCCTCCAGGAGCATGTTTAAAAATTTTGTTTTGATCTGTTTTTCATACAGAAAAGTCATCTTGAGTATCTGGTACTCCTTGCCTGAGAATACTTTAAGAATAAAGTCCTAAGTGGGACCTGGTGGCCTGTAATCCTAGCACTTTGGGAGACTGAGGGAGGAGGATCACTTGAGGTCAGTAGTTCGAATCCAGCCTGAGCAAGAGTGAGACCCCATCTCTTCAAAAAATGGAAAGAAAAATTAGCCGGCTATGGTGGTGCTCACCTGTAGTCCCAGCTACTTGGGAGGCTGAGGCAGGAGCATCACTTGAGCCCAGGAGTTTGAGGCTGCAGTGAGGAATTATCATACCACTGCACTCTAGCTAGGACAACAGAGTGTCTTAAAAAAAAAATAAAGTCCTGAAAAATTAAGTGCTCTGTGTGATTGGAGTTTATCGAACATTGGACTTGACTGTATAGGAGGTCAGGCGAATGGTGAAGCTGGCCTGTTTGGTGACCCCTGGATGTTGAAATCTGGAGTTCTTTTCTCTAGGCCTGGCTGCCAGCATTCTGCGATCAGGGCAGGGAAAGACAGAAAAGTTCCCAGCATTCCCTATGTAGACCTTCACTTACCCTCCCTCCCTGCCTTCAGACCTGGTTGGCGTGGGGCTCTGATGAGGCTTTGGCTACTTTCTTGTCAGCAGCTCCCTTGTACAGCAGTCAGATGTAAATGTCTCCACTCCTCCTTGCACTTCGATGTTTGTTTGTTTTTCCCGTTTTATAATTCTGACAATCAGCTCATTCTCATCCACACTGACTATGTAGATTTTTAAAAGAGGTAACAGGTACATAGGTAACCAGAGTGTAGAACTTGTTTGGTGACTCCTTATCCTCATTGCATTTTCTGGACAACTGCTCACGGACATGGTGTGGGACAGTCCTTATTCCTTTGGCCTGGGCTGCTTCGTTGAGCCTGGCGTCAGTGAGCACATCTGGAGTCCTCCAGGGCAAAGGTCGGGGTCTCTGTGAGTGCCTGAGGGGCTCACTTCTGAAGCCCACCGCAAGGATGTGCTTGTGAATGCTAATTCACATTTGCGGTTGCCACCTCATTGGTGGCAGAATGGCCCGTCTTCTTGCCACCCTTCTTTGGGGGAGACAAAGGGCTCCTGCTGGGCCCGAGATGGAAAGGAAGCCACTCTGACTTTTAAAGATTTGTTCACATCTCTTGTCTGCTGAGGTTGCCTCTTTGTCCTTGAGAATTTATAAAATCTTTTCCTTTCCTATAATTTCATATGGTTTAGAGAAAGGGAGAAGATATTAGGTGTACATGGTCAACACGCTATGACCTCTAATGGAATTTTTTATTCTGTATTTCACTTGTGTGCATGTTTTTCTCTTTTCTTTGAATCTGTTTCCTCATATCTTCCCTCTCTGCATCTCCTCTGCTTCCACCCCGTTTGTCCCCCGTAACCAGTGTGTTAACGCCTGGTATATATATCTGTCCACATGTTCTTCTTTGCTCATACAATCATAAAACATACATAAATATATTGGGAGGTTTTTTCATGACTTGTTTCCATAGAAAATGGGATCATACTATAAAAAATTCCTTGCAACTTATTTTCTTCACATCTTCACCATTGTTCCACATCAAAAGATATCTATGTAACTAATTCTCTTTAGTATGTGCATAATATTCCATAGTAGATAGCAATCTATTCAACCATTCCCAGTTCGATGGACAATTAGATTTCAACGGGATCTGACTTTATCCGGCCATTCCCCGTTGATGAACATTCGATGCTGCAGAAAGAGGGGAAGCTCAGTGTTCCCTGGGGACACACCGAGCTGTTTCCATCAGTCACGGGGATTAGAGGCACATACCCACCAGCGCCCGCGTGAATCAGCCGTGTTGTGTGTAGACCAGCTTCCTCTTGGTCTACATTGAAGACAAGAGCCTTTCACCTTGCAGTGTTACTTTGAGTAGCTACCAGTGGATTACAGGGAGATGCCCCAAATGCAGTGTCTGTTTGCCTTTTCTAGAAGAGCTCCCCATGTCAGGGTGCAGGAACCAGTTTCTTGCCCCGTCTGTGCCCCAGTCCCAGGAGTTCCAAGTGGGAGGAGAAACGAGAAGTCTGTGGCGGTGGATCTCCTCCCCATGCAGAAAATAGGGTGGCATTTGTTAGAATGAGCAGAGGCAGCTAGATGGATTTTGTTGCTGGACACCACACGTGAGGAGCTGCTCCAGGGGCTGCGGTGCTGGCCCGGATCCAGTAGGGGAGGATTAGTCACCAGGAGCAGCAAGTTTGGACCCCAAGGGCTTATGAACTAGTGTCTCAGAGAGGTAGGATGCAGATGAAATGGCACGCTCAGAGTCCATCCTGGAGCCGGCTCGAGGACGTGGAGGGCGGGTGCCAACTCCGACACTGCTCACATGCAGACACCAAATCCCTCTGTTGGCCTTGAAGTCGTATTTCTGGTCTGCCTCGACGGCTGACTTTCTGCCCCGCCGGACGTGCTTGCCCGTTTCACCAGTTAGAGGCCTGGCGACACGTGAGCCTGAGCTCCGTCCTGGGCCCTCCCTGCCACGCTGCCAAGTCTGAACGTGCGGAGGTCACCCCCACGGTAGTAACCCCCACGTATTGAGCGCTCACCGTGTGCCAAGCCCGGAAGGAGGGAGCCCTAATTAAAGAGCAGCCGTTACGTGCCAGACCCCAGACACTGCCTCATCTCCCGGCAGTGAGGTGGCTCTTCGGGCACTGCCGCCAATACAACTGCTCGTGATGGTTCTCTTCCGGCTTCTGGCGAGCCGCCCGGTGGTGCCGGAGATGGCGTTGTTTGACTAAATACATTCATTGTTTGTAAGTTTTTATTTTTTATTTAT